CCCCCCCCCCCCCCTTACCTGCGCTGCGGCCGCGGCGCGCGCTGAGCCCGCGGCAGCTCATCACACCCCGGGGGGCGGGGCCTGCGGGACACGCCCCCTCCGCCGTCACCACGGCAACGCCCCCGGGACACGCCCCTTCCCTGCTTGTTGCCATAGCGACCATGACGGAGGCCACGCCCCCCTCCTGGGGTTTTCCCGCCACCCGCCCTTCCCGCCCGCCAGGGGGCGCTCGCCTCGTGAGGGGGGCAAAGATGGCGGAGGCGGCCGTGAGGGGGGTGAGGGGGATTTGTGGGGTTTTTTGGGGTTCTGTGGGGTTTTGCGGAGTGAGGGATTACTAGAGAGGGTTGCAGGAGCTTTGGGGGTCGCTGGGGGTCGTTATGGAGGTTCTGAGGGGTCACTAAGGAGGGTTGTGGGGCTTGGCGGGTATTGGGGGATCACTGTGAGGGGTCAGTGGTCACTAAAGTGGGTTGGGGGTCCCTGAGGGGTGTCTGTGAAGGGTCGAGTGTCCCGAGGGAAGTTCTTGAGGGGATTTTGGGGGTCCGCAGAGAGGTTTAGGTGGGTCTTTGGTGGTCTCTGGGCTCTCTTGGAAGGAGAGGGGTCTTGGCTCTGGGGGATTTTTGTGGTTTTTTTGGGGGGGGGTTTGGGGTCTCCCCATCTCTTCCTACCCTGCAGGTCCTGGAGCAGCTCCTGGTGGCCCTGGGGACCCCCAAAAACGGGGAGCCCCGACGGGGAGCTCTGCTGGCATCCCTGACGGCAGGGGGGGCACTGGGGGGGCCCCTCTGCACCCTCACAGGTGGGTGGGGGGTCCTGGGGGGGTCCAGGCTCCCCTCAGACCCCCCTGACCCCCCCCTTTTCCAGTGGCAGCCACGGGACCCCTCAGCTGTGACCTCGACCCTGAAGCGCTGGGGGGGGGTAAGTGACCCCCAAAACCCCCCAAACCTCTCTCGGACCCCATTACCCCCTCAGGGACACCCCAACTCCTTTAAGAGCCCCCTAAAACCTCACTGGGGACCCCTAAATCCTCTCAATCTCCTCCCCAGCCCCACTGGGGGTCCCCTAAGCCTCTAAACCACCCTCCCAAGCCCCCTAAATCCCCCCCAAATCCCCTCCAGCCCCCCGGGGGGTGCAGGAGCTGCTGGGAGCCCCCCAAAATCTCCCCCCCTGCTGCGGGCAGATCCTGGACCGAGCTCAGGTGCAAAGGAGCTTCCAGGTGGGTTTTGGGGGGGCTAGGGGGGATTTTGGGGTCCCCCCTCTGTCTGTTCTCTTTCCCAGCCCCCCAAAGTCACCTTGGGGGGGGAATTGGGGTCGGGGGGGGGCCCGGGAGCCCCCCGGGAATGGGAATTGGGGCGGGAGGATAAAAATAGTTGGGGTGGCCTGGATTTGGGGGGAAATAATGGGGTCACGGGAATAGAGGGTCAAACTGGGATGAACTGGGATGGGGCAGGGGAGCAGTACAGGATCAAACTGGGATGAACTGGGGTGAGACAGAGGAGCAGTACAGGGTCAAACTGGGATGAACTGGGATGGGGCATGGGTAGGTCTAGGATAGATTAGTCTGGACCAGTCCGGACTGGTCTGGACCGATCCGAACTGGTCCGTACTGGTCCATACTGGTCCGTACTGGTCCGTACTGGTCCATACTGGTCCGTACTGGTCCGTACTGGTCCGTTCCCCCCAGGCCGCCCTGCAGCCGCCTCCGCCCGTGCCCGGGGCCGCCGCTGCCGCTGCCGGTGCCGCCCCCGCTGGCGGCCGCGGGCTTCGGGGGGGACCTGGAGCTGCTCCCGGTCAGCGCCCTCGGCCCCCCCGGGACCCCCCCCGGGCCGGGACCCCCCCTCTGCCGAGTGCAGATATCCGGGCTGGGGGGTCCAGGGGGGTTTGGGGTG